GAACAAATAATACCAGATGATAACTCAAATCTACAAGACAACAGAAAAATTTTAAACTATTTGGGTAAATATAAAGGATTTAAATATGTATAATTTAAAAAATATTTCCTTCTAATTTCTTCAAAAGACTTTTTAAAGCAAAAACCGTAACACTATACTGTCAAATTTATGACAAATACAAACATAACATACATGACTAAAAGAACAAAACAGCACAAGGTGGTTCAGGAGGGCAGAAAATGGAGCTATGCTAGTGCAAGTTTCTATAATTTGTGAGAGAAAAAAAAGCAGTATCAACATAAGGTGGGTTATAAGAAGATGAATATATTGTAATCCCTATAGCAACATCACACACACACACACACACACACACACACACACACACACACACAGAACTACAACTAAAAAATAAACAGGGGAATGAAAATGATCTATTAAGGACTTCCCTGGTGGCACAGTGGTTAAGAATCCACCTGCCAATGCAGGGGACATGGGTTTGAGCCCTGGTCTGGGAAGATCCCACATGCCACAGAGCAACTAAGCCCACGCACCACAACTACTGAGCCTGTGCTCTAGAGCCCACGAGCCACAAGTACTGAGCCCACGTGCTGCAACTACTGAAGCCTGTGCGCCTAGAGCCCATGTTCCTCAACAAGAGAAGCCACCACAGTGAGAAACCCGCCTACCACAACAAAGAGTAGCCCTCACTCGCCACAACTAGAGAAAGCCTGCGTGGAGCAACAAAGACCCAGCGCAGCCAAAAATAAATTTAAAAAAATAATTAACAAATAAATAAAATTCAAGCCATATTTTAAAAATATATTTTAAAAAAAGACAAGGAGACAAAGAAAATCAGTAAATATCAATGAACTTGACTTAACTGACATCTACAGATACCCCATCCAACAACAGGACACACATTCATTTTAAGAACACATTAATCAAACATCAGAATAGACTACATACTGGGCTTCAAAACAAGCTGCAATAATTTTATAAGGATGGAAATCATACAGAGTATATTTTCCAAGCATAATGGAACTAAATTAGAAATATATAACAAAAAGAAATACCAGAAATCTCCCCAAATATTTGGGAATTAAATAACATATTTGTAAATAAACTACGTGTCGAAAAGCCCAAAGAGAAATTAAAAAATGAATTGAATGAAAATGAAAACACAAAATATCAAAAATTGTGGGACACAGCTTCATGCTCAGAGGACAAATTATATGCAGGTAATCCTCATTTTGCAAGATTTCAACAAGCATGAAATTTAGTTACCACAGTTTAGTTAAATAACACCAGTCTGCCAACAACATAGTTCACACTTTAATGACCACAGTATGTCTAACAGCATAAAGTACAAACTTCACTGCTAGCTCTTCGGTCCATAAATCACTAAATAAATAACAGATACACATCATGATCAGTACCCAATCATTTCACTTCTTTCAAAGTCTGTTGGTGATTATTAACTTCACATCTGTTGTCCAATATATATACAGACAGCAAAGTGCGTAGTTTGTTTCCTCCTTGTATCCCATTGATAAATCCACGTGACATTATCCAAATTATCTTAATCATCCAAAAATGCGTAACTGAAAGAGGGAACTGACCAACAAAGATGTAAATGCAGCAAAGAAACAACACATAACAACACTGGATGTGATTAGAAATAGCTGACCATGTTGGCATTGCCACTATTTATGAGACTTTAGATATGCAGCCAGAGGAACTTAGTGAAGGCAAACTTATCAACATAAATTTCTGGGTTGTGACGGAAAGGATAAAAATATTTCAAAGAAAGTGATGCCTAAATTTTCACATTACCTTCGACATATTTCACAACACTGAAAGCACAAAGAAGAAAATGTTGGAAGCTGACCCAACCTTAGATAGTAATATGACAATTCACTAAGGCACAGAGAACATGTTAACTCCTTATCATAAGTTATACAATTGTAAGAAGGCAAGCACTGTTCAAACCACTCTACATAAGAGTTTTTGAAAAGAAATAAGACATTTTCAATGCTTCCAATGTTTTAAATTGCAGGGTAGTAAATAAATATTAGTTTTACTATATTTTCATCTCTATAAACAGTTATAACCAACAGCAAGATAGCATTTTTTTCAATTTTTTTTTTTTTTGATGTGGACCATTTTTTTTTAAGTCTTTACTGAATCTGTTACAATACTGCTTCTGTTTTATGTTTTGGTTTTTTGGCCACAAGGCATTGTGGGATCTTAGCTCCCCAACCAGGGATCGAACCTGCACCCCCTGCATTGGAAGGCAAAGTCTTAACCACTAGACCACCAGGGAAGTCCCCAAGATAACTTTTAATGTTTTGACGAAAAATGTTTAAAGGTCAAAATCAACTACAATTTTTCCCGTCGATTATAAAAATTACTTGGCAAAGTTCTGGCTTCCATGGTAATTTTTATGGCCCCTCACTACCATACAAAGTGATGACTACCTATATTTAAACGTTCACACTAGAAAACAATAAAGGTTTCAAATTAATGATCTAAGCTTCTCTCTTAAGAAGCTAGAAAAAGAGCAAATTAAACCTAAAATAAATAGAAGACAGGAAACAATAAAGATCGGAGTGGAAATCAATAGAAGACAGACAAACAATAAAGAAAAATAAATGAAATCAAAACCTGATTATTTGAAAAAAATTAATGAAATTGTTATGTTTTAGCTAGTGATGAGGAAAGAAGAAAACAAAGTAACAGTGTCAGGAATGAAAGACAGAACATCTCTAGAGATCCTATTGACATAAAAGAACAAAAAGGGAATATTATGAAAAAAATTTATACCGATAAATATAACAATTTAGATGAACTGGAAAAATTCCTTGGGAAAAAAAACAACCTACCAAAACTGACTCAAGAAAAAGTAAACAATCTACATCAAGGAAAGAAACTTAATAAATAAAAATCTTCCCACAAAGAAATGTCCATATCTAGACTGGTAAATTCTATCACTGTAATAAAACATAACCATGAATATAACAGTTTTTCTCAGTCTGTGAGTCCTTCTAGCAAATCAACAGAACTGAAGGTGGTCTTGCAGACCCCCAACACAACTAGCAAACCAAATCCAGCAACATATAAAAAGAATTATACACCATCACCAAGTGGAACTTATCCAGAAATATAAGGTTGGTTTGCTGTCCAAAAATCTATTAATTAAAATTCATGAACACATCACATAAATAGATCATTTCAACAGATGCAGAAAGAACATTTGTCAAAATGCAACACATTTTCATGATAAAAACACTCACCAAACTAGGAATAGAAAGGAACTTCCACAACCTGGCAAAGGGCATGACAACCTACAGCTAACATAACTTAATGGTAAAAGACTGGATTTTTCCCATAAGATCAGGAACAAGACAAGGATGTCCACTCTCCATTCTATTCAACATTGTACTAGAGGTTCTAGCCAGGGTAGTTAACCAAGAAAAGAAATAAAAAGCATCTAATGTGTAAAGGGATATTTAAAATGATCTCTATTTACAGATGACAAATTCATTTATATGGAAAATCCTAAAGAATTAGCTAAACACTATTAGAATTAGTAAACTTTGTGAGTTTGCAGGACCCCAGACCAATATTCAAAAATCAATTGCATTTCTATGCACTTGCAATGGACAATCCAAAAGTAAAGTTAATGAAACAATTTCATTTACAATAGTATCAAATAGAATAAAATACTACGAAGTATGTTTAACAAGATGTACACAACTTACACTCTGAAAACTATAAAACATTGCTGAAAGAAGTTAAAGAGGATCTAAATAAATGGAAAAACATTTCATGTTCCAGGGATCAGAAGACTTAATACTGTTAACATGGCAATACTCCTCAAATCAATCTACAAATTCAACCAATCGCTATCAGAATCTGAAGAGGTTTATTTGTGGAAACTGATACTCTGATTCTAAAATTCATATGGACCCAGAAGAGCCAAAACAATGCTGAAAAAGAAAAACAATGTTGGAAGAATGATACTTCCCAATTTCAAAACTTACCACAAACAACAGTAATCAAGAGAGTGTGATATTAGCTTTAGAACAGACATATAAATCAACAGAATAGTACAGACAGTCCAGAAATAAACCCTTTCATTTATGGCCAATTGATTTTTGGCAAGGGTACCAAGACCATTCAATGGGAAAAGGAGAGTCTTTTCAATAAATGGTGCTGGAACAACTGGATTACCACAGGCAAAAGAATGAAGTTGGACCCTTACTTCACACCATATGCAAAAATTAACTCAACATATCAGATCAAAGACCTAAATGTGAGAGCTGAAAGTACAAAACTCTTAGAAAAAAACATAGGGGTAAATCTTCATGACATTGGATTTGGCAATGGATTCTTGGATATGACACCAAAGCACAAACAACAACAACAAAAAAAGATAAACTATACTTCAACAAAATTAAAAACTCTTGGGACTTCCACGGTGGCACAGTGGTTAAGAATCTGCCTGCCAGTGCAGGGGACATGGGTTCGATCCCTGGTCTGGGAAGATCTCACATGCCGCAGGGAAACTAAGCCCATGCACCACAACTACTGAGCCCACATGCCACAACTACTGAGTCCACATGCTCCAACTACTGAAGCCTGGGCACCTAGAGCCTGTGCTCCGCAAGGAGAGAAGCCACCGCAACGAGAAGCCTGCGCACCACAACCAAGAGTAGCCCCCACTCGCCACAACTAGAGAAAGTCCGCGCTCAGCAACGAAGACCCAATGCAGCCAAAAATTTTTAAAAATTAAAAAAACAGTTAAAAGCTCTTGTGCTTCAATGACACAATCAAGAAAGTAAAAAGAAAACATGGGAGGAAGTATGTGCAAATCATTTATCTGATAAGAGATTTATATCAAATAAGAATTCTACACAAAGAATTATATCTATCTAACAAACTTTACATGAAAGTTCTATATAGGAACTTTATATAAAGAGCTCTTATAATTCAATAATAAAAGACAAATAACTCAATTCAAAAATGGATGGGGGGCAAGATAGGGATAGGGGATTAAGAGATACAAACTACTATGTATAAAATAAACAATTAGGATATATTGTACAGCACAGGAAAATATAGTCATTATTTTGTAATAACTTTAAATGGAGTATAATCTATTAAAATGTTGAATCACTATGTTGTACACTTGAAACTAAGATAATATTGTAAGTTAACTATACTTCAAAAAAAAAGGACAAGTGATTTGAATAGACATTTCTCCAAAGAACATACATAAATGGCCAATAAGCACATGAAAAAATGCTCAACCTAATTAGTCTTCAGGAACCGTTTTGGTTCAACATAGAGTTGCTATATTACCCAGCAATTCTACTCCTAGGTACACACCAAAGGAAAAAAAAAGATATGTCTATACAAAAACTTGTACATGAATGTTAATAGTAGCATTATTCATGTAGCCAAAAGGTGGAAACAAGCCAAATATCCAACAACTGACGAATGGATTAACAAAATGTAGTATATCAATACAATGTAATATTATTCAGCCAAAAAAGGAATGAAGTACTGATACATGCTAAAATGTGGATGAACCTTGAAAACATTATGAAAGAAGTCAGTCACAAAAGATCACATATTATATGAATACATTTATATGAAATATCAAGAATAAGGCAAATCAATACAGACAGAAAGCAGATTAGTGATTGCTTAGGGCTGGGGAGATGGGAAGAAGGGGTGTGATAGCTAAAGGGTATAGGGTTTCTTTTGGAGGTGATAAAACTGTCTTAAAATTGACTGTGGTGACAGTTGCACAAATCTGTGAATATCCTAAAAACCACTGCTGACTTTAAATGGGTGAACTGTATGGCATATGAGTTATATCTCAAAGCTGCTTAAAAAAAATAATAACAGAAAATTTCAGGGTACAGCTAGTGAAACATAGCTGTAGTCACAATATGTAACCAACTTTATATTCCACTATTCCCCAATAAATATCTTTTATTAAAGTCAAGTAAGCCTAGAAAATTTCTATCAGAAAAGCCATGTTGATTTCTAACTCCAAGGATTTGTACATGTCCTTTCCTAGAGCTTGCCCTCACCTTCCTCCTTCTGCCTAAGCCACACTTCAGATATGCTTCAAAGTAGCTGGTTCATGCTTTGAAAAATGCCTTCTTAAATTATGCCACATCTCTTTAGACTATAATTTTCACTGAACCCCTGAAGCAGTAACTATATTGGACATGCAATTTTATACACCTGTAAATCTTGATGTCTTGTCTTTCTATGGATAACCTATGTTCCTGAAAAGCATTTGCCTTCTATTGTCTTTGAATCTCTTTTAGAAAGGTACTAAAGATATGATTGTTGAGTAGATCAATAAGAAATTTCTCTTCTGTACATGGCTCACTACTACTGAATTAACTAGCTGTCGAATACCTACTACATGCACAGCACAGGAGCAAGAAGGAATAGAAGTTATCAATCTGGGTGGAAATGTAAGTCTTAGCTGCCAACCAATTAAAAACAAAAACAAACTGATATTTCACTTCCTTTGTCTTCCATCTGCCAGATTTTCACCTGGATAGATCCAATTTGACACGTCTTTCTTCATGATCCATGGCTCTTCTCCTTGTTCCAACTTAGATATGACACCTGGTTTGGAAACTGGATACCCTACGATAAAAAAAAATTGAGGAATTGAGTTGACTACACTGAAGAAAGAAGAAAAGATACAGTTTTAGGAGCCCCACAATGAAGTTGTCCAGCTGGCCCTCCGAACAGTAATGACCTTCCACTGGAGAGAAGAACGAGAGCAAAAAGTCACAAGTAGGTCAAGAACCCACCCAACTCAATCAAATTCCAGTGAGAGGCACTGGATTGGCTAACTCTGAGTTATGTTGGGAAGCCATCCTTACCCACTGAGACCAGGTGGCTGTAGTTCTCCAGCATTACATCCCTGTACAGGGTCCTCTGAGCAGGGTCCAGTTGCTGCCACTCCTCCTGGGTGAAATCTATAGCCACATCCTCGAATGACACTGGATCCTGTAATAGCATGCTCCTGTTCAATCTGAATTGATCATTCTCATCATTTTTACCATAGTGTACAAAACTACATTCCCAGTTCTACATTATGCCTATTGAGAAAAATGATGTAAAGATCTATCTTCAGCAAAAAGAGTCAAACACAGCAAGAGAACAGGAAAGCAAAAGAGACCTAATCACAAATGGAAATTTAATCAAGGCAGCATCCACTTCAAGTAAGTGGATTATTCAACAAATGGTACATGAGAATGCAAATCATGCACATGATATCCTCTAACTTTCCACTGTCTTCTTGAAATTTATTTATAACAAATATATATATATGAACTATAGTTTAATAGTGATTTCATGTGGTTTCAAAATACATAATCTGCATATTACATAGTAACTCTTTTTAAGTCTTTATCTTTCGTTCTCTCTGCATTTTCCCTAATCCTAATTTTTGACTTTCCACTCTTTTCTATTTCATTGTATGGAAATCAAGTACAAAGTAAGCAAGCAACTCACCTGAGACTTGGTCATCTTCTGCTTCTCTTCCAAAAGGGAAAAGGTCTGAGGAATCAGGACTAGGAGATAGAATGGAGCCTCCCGGAGCCAGAACTGACATTCACCAGTCTAGAAACACTACCACCAAAAGTCACATGGATAACAGGCCACCCTGTAGAAGAAGGTCATTTGGTCCTACGGAAGAGTCCTTACCGAACCCCCACGTGAAGGAAGCCCTCTTGTGATTATAATATGATCACATAGAACTTGGACAAGGTGTATTTTTAATTGGATGAATGCTGATAAGTTTTCTGTTGACTTACTAACACCTTATTGTTCCCCTTTGGACCAGAAATTATATTTGTTGTTCTATATGCAGAACTACCATAAGATAATAATCATGGATATATATGTAAAGATTTAACTGAAGATGGAGCAGATCCCTGGCAATAAGAATGGGAATGACGAAGTAGAAAACTGCTTCTGTTTAGGGAATATGCATTCCCATATTCCCTAAATAGAAGCAGCCAGTAAAATCCTAAGAGTTCTTTCATATTTTCCCCTAACTTGGCAAATTCTCTTGCCAAGTCAGTATTCATGGATTAAAATTGTTGATTTTGTTAATTTTAAGATGTTTTCTGTTTAAATTTTTATTGCTAATTTTTAATAGTGCAGTTGTCTATATTAAAAAAAATAGTTATAGGTTGGAACTACTGTTAAACATGAACATACCACAATGCAGCAAGATAGTTACCTGGTAATCTTCTCAGTCCCAGGATGGGTCATGCAGACATGGGCTGAACTCATTTAGAGGAGGCGAGTGCTCTCATGATAGGAAGAGTGTTTCATATAGGGTATCCCAGGCTTTGTCAAAATAAATCTGGAAGAAAACAATCAAACAGTCATGCTCATCTCTGAACGCCCAGCTCTGCAACAAGTAAACAGCAGGCATTTAATAAATGTTTGTTGAACAGAATGTAGAAGGACTGCAATAAACTGAGGAAGAGGCAGGGCTGAAATCAAATCTTACATGAGAAAGAGAAAAAGCAGCCCTTCCTATCTGAGAACTGGCCTGGCACTCATAACTCTCCTATTTAAATTGCAACAATTACAAGAAACACTTACATGAGACAGGCCACTCCCTGACCAGGACAGATCAAGACAAAAACAACACCTCTCTTAAATCATACCCGAACACAGACAAAACATCAACATTCTCCAACTCACAAAATACCAAACATCCCCCTCTCCCAACTAACATGAAGGATTGCTACTTTTTTACCTATCACAGCTTTAGCTTCAACCTAGTCATTCTTCTCTCTAGATAAGATTTACTAAAATTTCCACTCACTGAATTACCCCACTTCCTGACAACATCCAATTCAGAGCAAGGCCCGTTCCCTGCACCCTCCTCAAAATCACCTAACACAAGGCCAAATCCTATAACAAGTGTTTTCTAACACCCTCTTATCGAGATACCCTTAAGGCTCCCCACTGTGTATGTGTTCCTAACTAGATGCAAGAGCAATAAACCCAACTTATTCAACTACAGGGTGTTCCTGGTAGTTTCTGGCTCGACGGAATTGACAGTAATAATCCTGTCCCTTTAGATTTGTTTGGTCTTACATTCAAAGGATGTTTTCTTCTGTGATGATATGAATGATGGAAAGAGATGATGGCTTGAAAAAACATCTGAGGGGCTTCACCTTGAGAGCAGCCTCTGACCTACACAGACTGTAAAGTGAGGCATTTCCCAGTAAACTGGGACTAACCTTTATCAGCTCTGGGCCCCATTAATAACCTCTAAAATTTAATCACTGAATCACCAGGTGCAGAAATCAGAAATCTCAAAGAGCACCTCCACCCCCACTCCCATCACAGCACTGGCCATATAGGTCCACAAATCACTGGCCACACGGATACCCCATCAGCGCAAAGGCCCGCCGTCCCTGACCCACAAATAACACAGCTCTCCCTATGACTGATCCACATACATACCCAACCCTCATCCTAGAGACTCCCCACCACTGACCCCATAGACCTTCAATTACTGACCCTCATGGACCGCCGTCCCAATAACAATTTCAGTCTTCCTCAGGTCTCAACCCATAAATCCCCTTCTGACCCCCAGCTCGATTATCAGGTCCCAAAACGCCTGCCACAGCTTATCCCAGTAGGGATGTCACATTCATAGCGGCGAACTCTCCCGCTTCCTGTCTGGGTGAGCAAAGCACGAGGCTCCCGGGCCTGCGCTGTTCAGTACCGGGCAGTTTTGCCCGCTCCACACCCTGAGCCGCTTTGTTCAGGAGGCAATATGGCCGCCCCCATGCGCTGTGTCTCAGTGGGAGCCGCCATCTTGAAAGGCCGGCCAGTTCCGTACAGGCAGAGGAATTCAGTTTATTCGGAACCTGAGGCTGGGCTGTACCACCGCGGCAGCGAGAGGAGGGGGAAAAGATGACAAAAAGGAGAATTATACAAATGCGTAAGGTAGAAGCAATTGCAGATTTTACAGGATTGTGGAAGAATCTGCAGTAGGACAGTACTTTACTGGAAGACTGTAACTGGTGTAAGAGGAATTTGGAATGGTGCAATCCTTTCGTAGGAGAGTCTACTGAAAAGGTCTGCTAAATGGTCCAGGAGATTCCAGTGTGGGAGAGGGGCAAAAGTGATGGAAGACTTGGGCAGCAGAGAGGGGCAAGAACAGTTACTTATGCTAATTATTACAGGAAATCCTCCTAGGGGAAATTACAATTATGGTAATAAATCGCAGAGGGCGATTGATGAAAGAAAGGAAAATTGATGGATAAATGTGCTATTGTATAGCACAGGGAACTATATTCAATATCCTTTAATAAACCATAATGGAAAAGAATAGGAAAAAGAGTATATATGTATATATGTATATATATATATATATATATATATATACACACACACACACACACACACACACACACACACATAACTGAATCACTTTGCTGCTTTGGTGTAAGGCACAAACTAACACAATATTACTTCAATAAAATGATTTTTTGAAAAAAAGAAAATTGAGACAGGGAAGAGGAGACTGAAACACAAAATAAAAACTGAGAAACTGAGGCAAAGAGAAAGGAAGCCTAAGGGACAAAAAGACCTAAGGCATAAGAACAGAGAATGGGGGCTTCCCTGGTGGCGCAGTGCTTGAGAGTCCGCCTGCCGATGCAGGAG